AAAAAAAAAAAAAAAAAAAAAAAAAAAAAAAAAAAAAAAAAAAAAATCAAAAGTAAGGCTGGGGGTCAGTAAAAATATTATCTTCCTAGTTTCTTTTTACTAATTAAAAGTTAATCATACAGCACCGCAACAAATGTTGAGATTGAGTTGCCTGTGCCAGCAGATGCTACCAACCCAAATGTTCGGACCTCAATGGGGTCTGCTTCTTATGCACCTGAAAATGATGCATTATGCTGGAAAATAAGATCTTTTCCCGGTGGCAAGGTATTTAAAATTTCATTTGAATGTCTGTGAACGCTTACCTTACCTTATTATGCATGAATAGCGGATGATTCAGGAAGCTAATTTTCTTGATCTTAATATGGAAAATTCAGGAGTATATGTTAAGAGCAGAGTTTCGCCTTCCTTCAATTACATCTGAAGAAGCAACTCCAGAGAGAAAGGCGCCAATTCGTGTAAAGTTTGAGATACCATACTTCACTGTTTCTGGAATCCAGGTAGGGCTTCTTTATGCTTTCTCTGGTTAGTCATGTTTACCATTCAGTGACATGATAACTCCTCTTTCTTCCCTCTGATTTTCCATGCAAGAAAATTTATTAAAGCCCATGCTAATTCTTCTAAAATGTAGAGCATGGACAAAAGTTCCTCCCGTATCCAAACTGTCTAATGAAAAGTTGGCATAATTTTCTTTTAGGAAATCGACCTCATCTGGGATTTATTCTGCTATTTGTGATACCAGATATATGAACTCAGTTAGACTGGGTAGATCTACATTAGTTTCTTGCTCAAATATCTGAGCTAAAACTTGTTCTTCTTGTTTGTTACCAATTAATTGCTGAGAATATGGATAACAGGGCGAATTATATAATCATTATGGAGTCGAATAAGTATAAACTTCGGAAGATACGTTGTTCCTCGTTATTATTATGAAACCAATATGATATTTTAGATGTTAATGTCCAGTACTATGATTTCGTAGGTTCGTTACCTGAAGATTATCGAAAAAAGTGGGTACCAGGCTCTTCCATGGGTGAGATACATCACAATGGCTGGGGAGTATGAACTAAGGCTCGTATGAAAATTACTTACTTTGATTTATAGACATTTCGTTCTTCAGAGTTCATATGTCGTGAATTATTCAGTTAATAATCACAGGATGAGTCAAAGATTTGTTGTTGTAGAGAATTTGGTGGGCGAAGAAAAATTCTGTTTTCTACTCTTCTTTTGTTTGTGAAGCATATTGCAGCTTTTGTAAGTCCATATAGTAACTGAGAAAGTTGTCTCTTTTTTCTCTATTTTCTTTCAACTAGCTCTTTTTTTTCCTTTGTTTCAAGTTATAACCATTCTTATTTCAAATGCTCACTGTTAAATTTATTTACTTTTATCGGCTTTCTTCACAGGTTATTAACTCATGTCAAAAACTATAAGCGTAAAAGAATATCATTGAGAAAATAAATGCAAGAAAGTAAAAAATTGTGTTGATTCTCTTTTACGATTGCATTTCAGTGTTCTTGGTTTGGCAGGATCAGTTGTTTCTTCTAAATACATGTTTTCTACATCGCTCAAAAATCTCGTTGTATATCAGATCGAATTGAGCTCCTGCTCGCTCTCGATTAATGATGAATGATATGTGATCTGCCTCTACAATCTTGTAGTACCTAAATCCAAATTGTCCCAGAATTGAAAAGGATAATCAAGGATTCTATAGACAAAAAAAAAAAAAAAAAAAAAAAAAAAAAAAAAAAAAAAAAAAAAAAAAAA